TTCGATCCAAAGTTGTCCAAACTTTGGAGCCAAAGTTTTGAATCTTTGAGCGTGTTTAAAACGGCCCTGAGGATCGCCTACCAAATGTTATTATCGAAAGTCCAACTTCAAGGCTATTTACAGTACAGCCTCTGTGAGTCCGGGTAAGGGCCCTTCGCTGTAACCTATCTAGCGACCATTCGTAGCATTGTGTGCTGAACAGTCAGACTGCAGCCGTTTGTGCGGAAGGCTTCACCGTGGATGTGAGAAAGGGAGAGAGACAGAGAGAGAGAGGGACAGAGAGACAGAGAGGGCGAGAGAGAGAGAGAGAGAGAGAGAGAGAGAGAGAGAGAGAGAGAGAGAGAGAGAGAGAGAGAGNAGAGAGAGAGAGAGAGAGAGAGAGAGAGAGAGAGAGAGACAGCAACCGCATGTACAATGAAGCTTAGCCGGCGAAAACCCGGCTTTTCGCTTGGTCACGGTGTTGTATCTAGGGATGCGAGTTCAATGGCTTCACGAGTACGGCGTGCGTTTAAACATGAGTACCTCCCGGGGTGAGCAGAACTTCAGATTTTTTCTCGAGCCCGCCCTCAGTTGTGGGGTTTGTTATTGTTATTATCCCGTTTGGTTCGTATTGGTGGTGTCGCACGTTTGCGCCGCTGCCCGGTACATATCTCACTAATAGCGGCATGCGTGCGCGTGATGGGTCTCCCACACTTTCTACAGTTTTTGCTGAACCGCCCATGGGCATGTTCATGGGCATGCCCGTGGGCAGCCCATGGGGAATCCCTACGTGCAAGTCAATGGGTAGCCGCTGGGCAGCCCATGAGCGGTCGACTAGTGCCCGTCAACAGGAACCGGCACTCCTAAACAGTAGATTATCTGCGTTGGAACGGGCGTTGTAGCGGCAACCAACCCTAAACCCTATTCACCCCAAGCCCACACGATGCGGGCTGGGTTGGCGCTGGTGGGTTAGTTCGAGATTGTGCCCACGTTGGAGATTGTGCCCACGTGGGGCACTTCATCCACCGCCCATGGGCCCACCCATGGTGGGCTGCCCACGAGTGGCCCATGAAGTGCCCATGGGCGATCATGGGCGATTTCGCCAAACTCCCAGTAGTGTGGGAGATTGCGCGTGATTGCCTCGCAGTGTACGGTCACACCGGCAACTGTGTGGTCGAATATGGACATGTGGAACTAGACCCACCTTCCTTCGCTCAGGAGTCGTAGTCCAACAATCCAAAACTCTCTGGCAATGATCGATCAAGAGATCGAGCAGAGAAATCAACTTTGTCTTGTGCAAAGCAATAAACCAACGGAACAGGCGCATCACGGGGTACTGTCTACAGCACCTCTAGCGCAACGGTGACACTTACGCCTATACCTACGAAGCCTTACCGGCAACTGTGTGGTCGAATATGGACAAGCGGAACTAGGCCCACCTTCCTTCGCTCAGGAGCCTTCGTCCAACAATCTAAAACTCTCTGGCAATGATCGACCAAGAGACCGAGCAGAGAAAATCAACTTTGTCTTGTGCAAAGCAATAAACCAACGGAACAGGCGCATCACGGGGTACTGTCTACAGCACCTCTAGCGCAACGGTGACACTTACGCCTATACCTACGAAGCCTTACCGGCAACTGTGTGGTCGAATATGGACAAGCGGAACTAGGCCCACCTTCCTTCGCTCAGGAGCCTTCGTCCAACAATCTAAAACTCTCTGGCAATGATCGACCAAGAGACCGAGCAGAGAAAATCAACTTTGTCTTGTGCAAAGCAATAAACCAACGGAACAGGCGCATCACGGGGTACTGTCTACAGCACCTCTAGCGCAACGGTGACACTTACGCCTATACCTACGACGCCTTCACACGCTCCATTTGCACGCGACCCAACACGATATGTAGAGATGTGCTGTCACGTATTTTTTTCTTGATCTTGCTTGGGTGTTGCGTAGGACGCGTGCCCAAAGAGCTAGGCTCCATGGAGCGCCTTGGACAGCTTCGTCTTGAAGACAATAACCTCACAGGTGAGGATGGTACGATTCAAAACGGGCAAACCGTTTCGTACCGGGATACGTTGTCTGTCTGACTGTTCATGGACAAGTTGAAGAATTTGGCCGCCTGTCAATTTCGATACGCGTATGGACGAACTTCACACCTTGGGCTACAGTAGTTCGCGTCCAAGCAAATTGTTATTGAGCCCCTCGGTTGCCCACGTTCGGTGGTATTGGAGTCCTCCTAGCCAACTTGAACTTGTTCCGCCAGACAACATGATGCCAACGTTACCGCTACTCCTGTTCTACCCCGAGCGCTCTTTGACCTCCTCCTTCGGGCACCCGAACAATGAGTGGAATGCCTGGGTGTGCGAAGCCCTGGCCAGTGTAGACTTGCTCTGGTCTGGGGGGTGTTGGTCTTGTGTACTCTGGGCAACCAAATCACCCGGTCTTCCTGCAACCGTGCGTGCGCGAGGAGGACAGGTCTGGCCATGTTGTGGGGATGTCCGCGCTCGATCGAAGTACCTCTCATGCTGTGATGGTGACTGTTTGCTATTGGCCGCGAACGCTGCTTGTGCAGGTGCCGTTCCGACGGGGCTGGCAAACTTGAGTGCTCTTTCGACGCTTCAGGTCGGCAACACCAGATCGAAGGCCATCTTGCGCCGTGGCAACAAGCTTACCGGTGAGGAAGTGAACGGGGACACGCAGTTTTGATCTGCTTCGGTGACGATGACGGCGGGCACGAAAGTCAAAGACAACAGACCTCGGCTCGTAGACACGTCGAAAGAAACACATCGCGCGACTAGAGAATCCGGCCATGCTGCAAATCGTCCACGAGACGGAGATCTGTTATCGCAGCACACCACTCGTGCACCATCCATCCCTGCGACCGGGGGGCCACCCGCAGGGAGCGTTTCTTTCAATGTATTCCTTTTTCTTCATGCTTTTCCCCTCCAGGAGGACCGGCGAAGGGCGAGGCACTTGGCGCGTGGAAAGATCGAATATTGCGCAAACAGCAGGCAGTCAAGGATCAGCAAAAGGAGGCGCAAGCTCCTGAGCCTCCGCCGTCTACTCCTCCCCGCCTGCTACCGCAGCAGCAGGAGGCAGGTGAGAGCGACCAAAAAGAGGAGAACGCCCCCATGCCGCTTGGCTCCTCAACTCAAGGAGAGGAGGTGATGGAGGACAGGGCCCCTTCTCTGGAACATGCTTTCTTGTCCCCAAGGAAGGAACAAGAAGTGGACCGATTCTTCCGAGCGCAGCTTTCGTCCTCGGCAGGGTTGGGTTCACCCATCAGGGAGAACCCTGAATCGCTGGAGGACAATGCAACGCGTAATTGAAGATCAAGTCGGCGTAAGCGTTTTTCCTGACGATGAGCAGAGTGACATGGAGAGGCGCCGGGATCTCGGTACGCTGGTTTCCATGTCAACGGCGCTAGGCGAGGTTGTGGTGAGTGCTGTGCATCATGCGATTACGGGGAGACCCCTTAGCAACAGCGACGAACGGGCCGTAAGGAATATATGCTGTCGAAAATCGTTTGTGCCGTTTGGCCTCATGGCAAAACCTGCCGCCCGTGTTGGCTTCCGCGTGCGCAGTCGAAGCACACCGAGGACATGGATGTACAACAGATGGAGGAACTTCGCCCGCGTTTTGGAGTGTGTATTACACGGCCGTTAGAACCGGCCTCTGCGAGGGGTACCTCGCTGCCAGCGTCATCAACAGTGACTGGGTGTCCGCGAGCAAGACCGGCAGCATAGGCGAGGTGGGTGCCGCCGTTAGGGCCAGAGTATGCGGACTGTGGGATCTGCATTGTCTGTGATTACAGTGGACACAGAATGCTCTCTGCCAGTCACTCGAAGCTCATGTTTCATGTGCTGCTTCTATATTTCAGGCAAGAGCGGCCTTCAAGCTGCTGTCTAGCACAGTTCCCGTGGTCGGCGGACTGCCCGAACTAGCTGGTAAAGCGTTGGAGATCGGAGACCACTACCTTCAAAGTCGGCGATTGGTTAAGGTGAGTCTATGGGTAGTCGTGCTTGCCGTGTGCGGTGCGCTAGACACCCCTCCCATTCTCATGCTGCCTGCCACAAGGAGTATCACCGACACGGCTGTCTACGTTCGATATTTGGCAGATCCCCGGCTATGGCACCTGACGCGATGGAGTGCTGCTCTCTGGCGAGGAAGTTGGCGCTACAACTAACCAACGGCCTCAAGGACGACAACGGCGCCGAAGCTGACGAAGCCGACCACGTTTCTGGTCACGTTGCGGCATGCATGAACGGTGCGTCGAGATAGAGGAATGTATATGGCAGTTCCGGTTGAATTGTGCAACGCACTTTGTTTAAGGCTGAACGGCACACAGACACAAGGCTGCATGCTGGGATGGAAAAGACGGGTGAAATGATCGTCGTGTACACCCAACTACGTTCTTAGGTTGGAATTTCTCGTGGGATTGCGCACAACAGTAACTACCTGGTTGTGTGTCCATCTCCATGTTCCTGGAGCTTCTAGCGCAAGGATTCTTCTCGTGCAAAATGACCGGGTCCGCGCTGCTCTTGGCGATCTGATTTCCTCGACTCTTTGGAAAGGAATGCGTACCTACGACCGCCTGACGGATTTTGAGACATGTAGCACACGGAGGGCATTGGCCGCGTACGTATCAAACGCAGTGGTCACACGACGGCATCGAGGGTGTTGTTTGCCATTGGAATGCTCGGCGCACGTAAGCCTGGGCCAAGGCGTACATTTATTCGGTTATGTTGTACGTGGTTGTTTCTACCCATCGCCGAAGCGCATCGCCTAGAGCAACGACAAATACCGTCCATGGACCAAGTGTTCATCAAAACGTGGCATTCTGTCGCATTTGCGGCTACGATGATAGCTTCGTGTATTCCAGGCAGCTCTGGATCTGGCGGAGGCTCTCATATTTCGCCTGATATTGTGAGCGAAGACGACGTCTTTGAATACGTGCTGGAAGAGGTGGCGAGCTATGAATGCAGCGATCACGTGAGTAAAAAAAATGGAGCCCACCTTTGTATAGGCACGGAGATGTTCGCCGCTGTGGCTATACCATCGTCTCCATAGGTGATTTGAGAGCTATTCCACGCTACCGTATCGACTATGTTCTCCTCTCTCTTCTTTAGGGCGGCAAGCGACTGGGCAAGAAGCACCTTCGCAAGATACTGAAAGCTATTCAGCGAGGTTGCCTTGACGGGTCAAGCAGCATTGGACATAAGGTATTGACTCCAGTGTGTACCGGGAAATATTTCCGAGAGATAATTGAATTTTTCTTTGGGGCCGTTGACCGATCCGGTAGCCTTTTGGGCTGATGCGTATGGCGGATTGAGGGGTTGCACAGCACAGGAATATCGATACCAAGCTCCGGAAGGGCGGTAGCCTTGTCAAATCAAGCAGGTACACGCTATTAGCGCAGATAATGTGATTGAAACAAAACTTCACGCAGTGCCATGAGAAGAGAAAGGTCGACACTCTTGTTTCGTCATGGACATGCCATCCGTTTTGTCCATGCTGCGAGCAGATCGAGCGTCGCAACGTCGAACACGCCGAAGGAAATGATCGTCCGATCGCCTGTTGTTGTGGCGACCGCCCACGACAACGGGTTGCCCTCAAGGGAACAGATTGCCGCCATGCAAGCTTCGTCGGAAGCTTTGAAGTTCGACAGGGAAACACAGCAAGCAGAGCTGGAAGAGTTGCAAGCCGCCAAGGACAAGCAGCAAGAAGAGCTGAAAGCAATGAGATCAGCGAACAAGAAGCTCCAGCGGAAGGTAAAACGCGATCGCCGTCACAATACCAAGCTTGTGGATTTTTGGCTTTCGACGTATTCTGTGAGTGAAGTGTAAGCAAGAGGACGGCTGTGTTTGCTCGTTTGTCTCCACCGCCATCACCGATCACCCATGTCTCGCAATCCGACTACATAGGTGATTAACCTGGAGAAATATGTTTCAGCGCCTGACTGCGAGCCCGACGACAGCGTGGATGTAGGTGAGGCCGTAGGCGTCGTGTTACCGCCACCTACCGCAAGAAATCTACGGGCACAACCAACAGCGGCACCCCGGATACCTGAACCACGCTAGATTTCCAACCTTCACTCCCTGCCTGTGTTGTTCACGACCGATGGCAGGGGGTGGGCTGGCTCTAAGACGACGGGCGGCTGTAACCGAGACGGCGGAAGGGTTCTTGGACAGAGCTCGAGATAGAGGTACGACAGCGTTTCAGACCCTTTCAGGCCTGGGGCTGAGGCCATTACGTGTTTCTCCGACATCTTCGCGTGTGCTGGTTGAGTACGGGTTGTTTCACGCAGCTCGAAGCGGGACAAGAGTCGAACGGGCGATCTTGTGCTGGTGGATGGATGTATTTGTCGTTGTTTCGGATCGCGACATTCAGCCATTTCCATGAAACGTTCGCCTGAAACAAAGCGACAATACCAAGAGTCTCTGGTGTTGGGTCCAATCGGGAAGCATTGCAATATCAATCTTCAGTGTTTGAGGTTTTCCCATCGCACCCCATTCCTGACCGTGTGCGAGACTGGAGCTTGTGCCTTGGAGCTTGTACTTTTTCAGACGATTACTTGATCATGATTGCAAAGTCGCTCAAACAAATACCTGCATAACCACACATCCTCTCACGGTGCGCCTTCTCCGACTGCTACGGAAGAACAGCTCACGTCAGAGAGACTCGTGCCCCTACCTCACCAATGATGGGACCCTCGTTTGTTTGTTTTCTCGATTGGTGTCTATCAGCGGCGGCAGCGGCTGACCACCATCCTGTGACTACGAGAGTTCGAGGCACTCCAGACAGAGAAGCCCCGTGAACACGAATCAAAGCCCAGGGAGCTTGAGGGAGAGATCGGCAAGGCGAACAAACCGAAAGGTGAGTCGGCTCGGCTGTTTACGTTCTTATTTCTAGTCGGCGGCATTGCCGTGGTTGCCTTCCGTGTCGCAGCAATTTTGCGCGACCACACTGCTCTTGTGCTGGTTATGCGATTAATGCTGAGGTCGCCAAGGCCAACGAGCTTCTATATTGAACTACCTTCCTGAAGAGTTTGGTCCAGCGCTGTTCAATCTCACACCCAGTCACGCCCTGTCTCGCGCGTAAACGCCGTCCTGTCAAAAGCCGCCCGCTTGCGCATGCCTTCTTCTACACCGTACGTGTAGTCCGCGGCTGTGTAGCTTGTTCGTTATGCTTCTTTGTGGTTCAGTTTCCCCACCCTTCCTATCGAAATACCTCGTTCCACGTTCGGTGTACAGTCGTGACTCCGACATTAAGAAGGTAAGTTGTACGTGGGGGTTCCGATATCAGAGGGTCGAAATCGGTTGTCACGGACTCGCTATAATAGCATAGTTGAGAGCTTTCTTATTCCGGGATATGAGAGAGCTCCCAAAGAAGAGCGTCGAGAACCTTCGTCACACCACCCCGCACACGTCGGAGCCACGACTGTATCTTAGAAATGGTTCTGCGAGTGTTGCTGATATTTGCTGGACGATTCGTCCTTGACGGCGAAACGACTCGCGTGGGATCTCGGAGTATCGTCACCAACAAGACGCTACTATGACAACCCTGCTCTGTCTGGCGTTCTACCGTTGTTTGGCCATCGGGCATCTCAGGACGTCGATGACCTTCCTTTCGCGCGCGAGAGGATTCATACGCGAGAGCTGACGAAAGCCCTGGGCCATGACCACCACTCCCAACAACTGCAGATTGGCTCATGTGTTTGATGTGTTGCCGCTCCTTGTGGCAGCACCAGGATCGGGCGAGACATCAACCCGGCGTTGCTCGTTCGTGGGCAGTTGCCGTATTTCGGATTTTGACGTGGCTCTTGCTCAGATCGAACGCGCGAGCTGCTCAGAACATGTAGAGTAGTGAGTGAGTGTGGGCTACGACGTGCTTCGCAAGTATAGTATTCGTTTGCCCAGGTGATTGGCGGTGATTTGTTGCATGTTCCAGGACAACAGTAGTAGTATGGAACTCATCGACGTTGCACGTCAACCCCTCGACGAAAACCTCGGGGGGGGGGGGCTCTGGTTATCC